ATATATATATATATATTTTATAGATATTTCATTGAAATATCTATATTTTCATCAAAAATTATCAAATAATTACTCATGTGATACTATGAAAATCCTTTCTGTAGACTAGAGAAAGGATTTTATTCGGATAATGGCTAAAGAGAGAAAAAGAATATAAAGATAAATTATTAATAAGAAATCGCATGTATAATGTATGTATAATGTATGATGTAACACGGAGAAAAAAGAAAAAAACTTAGTAATCCGAGCAGTGTTAACAAAAACGCGTAGAAGAGTGATAAATATCTCTATTAACGAAAACGAATTAATTAGACAGCGTGAGATCTTTCACTTCCTGTTCCGGCCAACGTCGCAAGTTTCTTTTAAGACAGCTGATGCTGATACAGTAGCAGGGTCGAATTTGCATAAGGCCCCATATAGAGAAAGAGAGAGACTAACTTGATTATTTCACCTTCCCGAGAGCAACGTTGCTCCCCTTGCCCGAGTAATACGCAAGCTTTATAATTAGAGGGGGCTGTTTTCATGTAAATCTGTAATGGTAGTTGAAATGTGTCTCACGAATGTATCAGCCGACATATCATGTTCCTTCCGCATGTAATTCTTGACAAATATTCAGATATGTAATCCATAACACTACATTACTTTGTCCACGCGACGACAGAACAATTTAAAGAACTTTTAACGTAAATATTTTTTAATAAAAAAAGTTTTGTTTTATTAAAAATTTTTATTTTTTAATGATATTCCTTTTTAGCAATATGATAAATTATATTGATATTTATTATAATTAATAGTTAATCGTAAATAATAAAATAAATAATTTTAAATAATTTTTTTTAATCTTAATAATGATTTGCTTATTATTTGCTTACGAAATAATGATTATTTCTAACCGCTCAGAAATTCACGAAAAGCTAGATGAAAAATAAAAAGGTATGCAAAAAAAATAATAAAAAAAACGTGCGGAGAAAGGGGCGTAACCTGGGAAGAAGAGCGGGTACAGCAGGATCACATCAGGACGAAATGGGCCACCGGAATTTCTAATGAAGTGTGTGAACTTTGACCCGGTTTCGTAACCTAATTAAATTCGGAACACGTATGCAAATTTCCGCGCAGCGTGACGACATGCTGAAACCGACCCCCATCGTCTTATTCCCTTTCTCTATATTCCGCTGTTACGCTGCCCCAACGTGTTACAACACCGCCGATTTTGGTTTCGCACGCACTCGCAATTGTGACCGAATTCAACCGTTAATTAATTAGAAGTCTCCGTAGAGAAGGGTGGAATACCGTTACGAGAACGTTCGTGCAAACGAATCAATAATTCACGCAAGAATTAAAGTCCTGTGTATAAAGGAACCCTTTACATATACCACTTACCAGACACTACGATCTCTCGACAAGAATTGTTATTTAAATTCGGTTAAATGTTTACACCAATAATGGATAAACATTATAAATTTTATCTAACGTCAGTCAAGAATGAAGAAAATATAAATATATAATATAATGATAATATAATAATATAA